TGGCCAATCTCCCGACTGATGATATAAGCCAGCCACCAATTTTGTCGTGGCGATAAGTAAACGGATCAGAACACACTTAGTGCGTCTCCTAGCAATGAGCGGGGTTTATGGAGCACCAGTATTGGGTAGATTATAAAGAGGAAAATCTGACATTTATGTCGCTGTGTACGTGTAATGATCTTTTGGATGGAGGGTCACATGCTCTGAACCTTTTTCAAACAACTTCTTGCTGCCCTGGACGTTGCAGAGGATCATACACGATGCCCTATCTGCTGCATCATGCAGGGTGGGTAGGGGTTTGGATGCTACTGCTCAATTCTTCCAGTCTCCTTAGTACCCATTTTGTGTTTGTTTATCTCTAGCGTCCTGCTCCAACCACTTTTATCCCATTGTTTTCAACCTCCCGATTCTTGGCCCTCCCCCATCTTGCTTCAATAGTCCCTTGTCTTCAGGTTTCAACACACAATCTCAGGGCGTCACTTCAATCCAGTCGACAAGTCCATGTTCAACCAAGCAGACAACGTCAGTTCATCCGTTTCCCTTTGGAGTCCTCGATCCTCGCAAAGACTGGCGGGCCTCAATGTGCTCACTTTGCTACAGAATGACCAACAGGCAGCACTTCCCCGAACACTAAAGACACTATCGATCGATATTTGCCGTCTATCTGAAACGCCCCTGCAAGATTCGAGCTTCGTGCTTACCCCGCAATCCGCCACAAAAGACACTGGCGGCACATTCTTATTGCGCCTGTCTGGAGGTGATGCTGCTTCAAATACCGGTCAAGCCGGCGTGGGCATTATTTTGAGTCTTCGAGCTGAAGTTGCCATGATTGATTGGATCCCAGTCAACAGCCAGATGTACGCCGTCGGATTGGCTGGCTCGTCCCAGGCTTCGAAGTCCTGTATGGACAAACGCTGACTGGTTGTCATTGAGGCTTACGTCCCACTCCCAAACTCTAGTACTGATACGAGTAAAGGTGATTTCTATCACCAACTTAACGATCTCGTTCGTTACGAAATAAGCACGCATACTGTGGTGCAGGCTGGCGATCTAAACGTCTAAGTTGGAAAATTGTCCTCTGATGAGCTTCAGCCTGAAGGTCAACATGGTGGAGGCTATTGCAATGATAACGGTGAGCGCTTGTTACACCTGTGTGAAGATTCTTGTCTCTTTCTCCTTAGCAATAACTTTCAACACAGCGTCCGCAGAAGTGTGACTTGGCGACCACCAGTCTCGGATCAGCCATGGACACAAATCGATCACATCGCGATCAGTTACCGCTGGCGAGGCTGCGTCCAAATCTCGTTCGATTTGGAGTACCAGCGTGGACTCCGATCACGTGCTTGTGTGTGCCGAACTTCAGATGCGTTTCTGCGGATGTCTGCAACGTTTCTGTGGACGCATAAACACCAGCCAACTGAGGAAGCCAGGTGTTCTGAATGCGTATCAAATTACGCTAGCATCCGGGCTGTGTAAGCGCCCACTGAACACAGTCGAAGATCACTGAGTGCATATTCGCCAAGCGTTACTAGCAGCAGGCATGTTTTCATGTGGCAAATCAAATTGCCAACCTAGACATTGGGTCTCTACACAGTCTCTGAAACTTATGGATGCTCGCCGGCATGTTCCGTCTGGATGCGAACATAATGAGGCTCGGAAAATTTTCATGGCAAAATTGCGTGCTAAATGGGAGACAGAACGCAAAGTCTGGTGCTCTCATCGTGCATCGGAAATGCAAACAGCCGCTGTCGATGATATTCAACATGTTATTCTGCCTGATACGGGAAATTGGCAACATGGGACCTGGTGTTAGCGAGATCATACGCGAGGAGAGTGGACATCCGATCCACAGCCTGTCGAAACGTTTGGAGCCTTTGGCCGAACACTTTGAAAGTTAGTTTACCCAATCTGTTATCACTTTCTTTCTTCTTCGTTGAGTGCCCTACTCCCTGGGTCGTCTCCTAGGATCCGTCCTCACGCGCAGAAGTCGAACGTGAGATCAAACTGCTGAAATTGAATAAGGCTGCAGGAGCAGATATAATTCTCCCAGCCCGTTTCAAATTCGAGGGACTTGCGCTTGTGGAGCATTTACTAGAGTAAATAGTGAAATTTTCGGGGCAGGAAACTGTGTTGACAGAGTGGAAGCGCTCGGTCATAGTACCGGTTTCCAAGGGTAGCTTTCGTTCGGAATGCGGCAGTCAAAGAGGGAACAGTCCGATCTCAGTTGCCTGTAAATTGATCTCGCATATTTTTCTCCACAGGTTGGCTGGCACTCGTGAAGTCCAGATTCATGAGGTGCAAGCCGGTTTCTTCGAAGTTGGGGCTGCCTCGACCACAGTTTCACCTTGCGTCAGTTTTTGGAGCACCTCCATGTTTATTGGCGACCCACCGTTGTCGCGTCTCTCGACATAAAAGTTGCCTTCTGGCACTGTCTACTACGGAAAAATGTGCCCCATAAATAGGCAAACATTAACAGAGCGCTGTAAGCGTGTAGTTAGGGCAGAGTGGGTGTTTATGCCAAACGGTCGCCGCCCTTCAGTACTTCCAGCGGTGTGAGACAAGGTTGTTCGCTGTCATTATTCCTTTTAAACTTCGCGGTTAACGAAGTCATGGAAGCATTGTTCGCTGGACATGACCTAGAAATGGTGGAGCTACTTCCTGGTAAGAGAATTCTTGACTTAGAGTGTGCGGACGATATTTCACTCATCTGTGACAGCTACCGAACGTACCAGACAGCACTGGACCGATTAGCACTGGTTAACAATACTTCTGGGCTACGCTTTGCTCTATCAAAATACAAAGTACTTCTCCAAGATTGGCAGGGACCAACACTTGCGTTGACTCTTGGTGGGGCTCAGCTAGAAGTTGTTGAAAAATTCAAGTGCTTGGGCAACTATATCAGCGCCCGTGTGATCAAAGAGTAGGTATAGCAAAAGATCGAGGCGCATTTATCAAATGCCACCAAATGCGGTGCTATCGAAGTATCAGTCTGGCCCTGAAGTGCATAGTTAATAATGCAGCCGTCCGTTCAACCCTCTTATTCGGTTGGGAAACCTGGCCCATCAGGTCGATGGACATAAGGAGGCTAGTCAGGCTCGATCATTGCTGCCTCCACAGCCTAGCTCATGTCTGGGGGGAGCAGCGCATGAGCAATGAGCGTGTTCGGCATCACATATTTGGTGCAAGAAGGGCTAGTGAACTGCTCAGCACCGTCATATCATGCACCAGGCTCCAATGGCTGGACCACGTGTTGCGCATGCCAACACACCGACTCCCGCATCGTGCACTGTTTGGGCGCCGAGGTTGCACTTAGAAGAGGAGGACTGGAGGTTAAGCGATGACTTGGTCATGAGAAACGAAAACCGACACCTCGAATGTGGCGTCGGTTAGTGCATCCCGACTGCCTGACTGGGGTCTTAAAGACGATGAGTACGTTTGGTTAGACACACTTGTTAATATGAAGAAGACCCGACCCCAATGGCGTTTGGGTTCTGCATTCCTTTGTCCGTCCTTCTCCACTTTTGATTCCCCATCCAAGTAAAATCTCATACGGAATGGGTAATGTATGAGTTAACATCATATTGCTTGCTTTTTGAATTCTTGGTAGCGTAATAGGTTTAATATATTATTTTTTCTATTACAGCACATTAACTGAAGTCTGTTTCTCACCATCAGCTAACGTGTATTGATGATGACGAATTAGTGGACAACCAAGTGTCATCAGTAAACTCGCCCAAAGTATGAAAACGAAGAAATTTGTTGCCTTGCATTGGTGAGAACTGGTAAAAGTGAAGCATACTTTAGGCTTAAAGTGATCAGAACTGATGAGGTTCGTCAAACCATGGGGATTTGTTGTGTAGAGTAGATGATCCCAAACATGAAAGAAACCACTACGCGCATCCTGCGCTTGCTCATTTGAAGATTTTGCGCACAGATTAAGAATATTCTTGTTTGGAAGAAGTTCCATACACGTGACTGAATCAGAAATCTATGGTACTCACAGGGTTAAGTCATGGAAACAGTTGCTTCCGCTACCAGATTGAATTTGAACATAGTATGCACACGAAATTTTGATAAAATTCATTAACCCGTGCTTACTACAGATCGGTAGGATCCGACATTGTAGAGAAAAGTACTTGTTCTTCCAGTGGCCAGAATGATCCCGCAACCTGTTCACCTCCCCTTAGAACCAGTCTAGGAATCTATCAATTCACCGACGCGCTATTCCAGTATCAAGAAAAACCACGAGACAGTATTTGAAGCCCACTGTCTTTTAAACCATGAAAACAGTTACAATGTCATAAGAATGTTTTACACAGCAATCTACAACCGTACAACGCTTTCTGCTTGCGTGCAGCTATGACCTAATCATGCCATTTGCCAACGGAAGAGCGTTAGTTCATTTTGCAGTGGGCATAAACCAAGCACTACTACGCCAAGTATCAGTAGTATAAAAGTAACAAGTAAGACGGACGGTAGAGGACTGACAGAAAACACACGGCTGTCAGACGCAGATATATGTGATCTATGCATACACTCAGGGGTGGCGCGAGCCAGATCACATCCAAAAAGAGTTTGACGTTATGTAGAAAGATTGGTGGTCAGATTTCAAGCAGACTGTTAATGGTATTTGCCACAATAAAAACTCATTCGCATCTTGGGTTCATGCAATACCACTGACTGCTCTAGTTCCATTGCTCTTCTGGCTGCCTACTCGACGTGGACGGGCCAGTAAACTGGCCTTTGCGAATATATGAGGTAGGTTAAGTACCAGAAGTTCGTATTGGGAAGGTCCAGTCAAATCTCGGTAGAATGAGCAACATCCAACTCGCAACTTTTTGCAAATTCGCTCGTAATGGGAAATCTGTACGGTCGTGTTTTGCATCTTTCCCCTTACCAAACAGACCCTGCTCAAATTAAACATGCGTTTTGACTGTGCTCCCTTTCTACAACAATGCTGTTGTCTAAAAGGCATTTGGTCGTTATCGGAATGACAATCGCTATATAGTCTTAATTTGCAGACGCACGTTGCTTACCCATAACTTGTGAAATTGGACCGGCCTGCTTTGGATTTCCAAGTGGACACCCGCACTTTGGTGAAATAGACTGTCCATCAGTATTGGCCTCCATTCGTTGTTTTCTACACGTAAATACTCACCAGCCAACACCAAATCCCGGGGACCTCTCCGGAGTTTTGAATTTAGTTTGTTATGGTTACTCTTCGAACTCAAGTTTCCACTCACGTACGATTTTGGACTGTAGGCATTCACATCCTGAATTGGTCTGTACGTAAACAATTTGTAAAATATCCTAGGCGGGAATGTGGTCTACAAAAGTATGCAGGACAATTATTCACAGTAACTACCTACTCCACCCAGTCGGAACATGACGAAGCCGCCAGCAGCTCTGTCAACATAAAAGCGCTCCCCAGGAGCTAAACAACGAAGGAGGAACCGTTGTTCCCACTTCTCACCACATAGGAGTAGTCTCTTGTAAAATTCGAATACCTTCACATCCTTCAAATCGAGCAGTTACTGAGGGTAAATTATGAGCATACCAAAAATCGTCTCCATTGACGCTGAATTACTCTAGCTGCCGCGTTTCGAGTCAAAATCATCCACACTGCATCTGAATCATTATTGAAATACACACACGACTTCACGGAAAGGTGGAATGCGGCCATTTCGATCGGTGAGCATATGTATATATTGATCATTTGTCTAATGATTGTTTTCATTGTAGTTTTGGATAGAAACAGACAAACAATGAACTCACTCTAACCAGGTCACGTTGGTAGTTCAACTACCAATCTCCGAATGCTTTTGAAGCCAGGATGACCGTCACTTACCAACTAAATATTCTATCTTAACCAGAGCCTCAGGTATTGTGAACCGAACCTAATTGTTATGAGCTAAGCCTGGAATATGGAAAGAGGATAACCAACCAATTTAAATCACCGCTTTCGACAACGGTCTTTTTGCAAATTGCTCTGGCTCAATTCAGATCGACTGTTTGGTTAAAAAAAACAAAAGTTCTTAATCTAACCACGAATAGAGGTCAATGACGCACAGCTTTCGTGGGCGATTGGGCACGTGATTTTTGGGACGAAGAACAAGAGTTGCCTACTTTCCTCCAGATAGACCGAGAAGTTGTAGTGACTTGTACATGATAGCAACAGGCTCTAATGAACTCGTTCTAATTTCACAGAGCATACAGGAAAAGACAGATGGAAGTTGTGCGCTCGTATTGTTTAGGACACGCAAAAAGACGTCCAACGTTTCGGAATTCCGTGCGTTCAAGAATGTCCCGATCTATGTTTGGCTGTTTATTTGTGCAAACGAACCTGGTTAATAGTAGAGAACCTATTAACAGAATATCAAGCTTGCTGTTATGACTCAGTCCAACCCGTAATTTGACAAGATAGTGTAGAGCTAAGCCTTTCAAAGCAATTCCGCTTACTTCGAGCTCTGGGTACGCGCCTAATACGTGCATTGGTATCAGGTGCAAATTGGCCGGTGAAGTATCAATAGACAACGTAAAGAAGACCTTCACTAGAATGCTCTGTTATTGTATAGGTTTATATATATATATATATATATATATATATATCCCGGTGTGGCTGCGCTTGATGTGCATGTTAACAAGGTGCCTACCTCTCTATTATCCACTACCTCGTCCATTCTGGCTCCAGGAGACAGTTGGTCGTTGTTGGAGGGGACGGGTGCACGGTCCTTGTGGTCCCGCTGGGCTCGAAGAGTGGTTCCATGCACTCAGTGGGGAACGGACTACGGTCCAGCCACCGCATTGTGTGCACTTGATTCCCCAAATACAGCGTGCTTGTGTTTGCGTGTGAAGGAGTGTGGGCCGGCTCCGTTGATGAAACGTGGCTCCCATCCACATGCCTCCCGGTCTTATTTCTTCGGGTTTACACTGGATATGGGGTGTATGGTTGGAGCTGTGGGTGGTGCAGCGCAAGCCATCCATGGTCCCTTTGTAGGCGTAGGTGTCCTATGGCTGTCCACAGTGACAGGTAATTCCGAAACCGGATGCCGCCAACCATATATATATATATATATATATATATATATATATATATATATATATCCTTTTCCTCAGAGCTATTTTTAGTGTTTCTCGTATATTCAAAATTGCCTTGGGCTCAAAATAGTTTAGTCTGTTTAAGATTCTTTAAATGTATTAAACTGGAATAGAATACGGTTTTTCAAACGATGGAATTTCTTCTAGTTGATATGTAGAAATTCTGGCCAGCAAGACAACAGCATATATATTTGCAAATTGGATGGAGTTATATTGCAAACTCATAACAAGTGCTTGTCAGACTGAGTAAGGCTTTAAGTATCTCGAGAGAGATGCATACGTTAAAGTAGTTGTGTCTTATGAAGAAAGTTACACAAGCATGGAAACTGCGACCAAATTTAGTTGTAATCAAAACAGCCATAAGACATATTAGAAGACTCAAATGACAGGCACCCATCTGGTCGAGTCACGAAGTTAACCAACAGAGGTACCCAGGTGTTACTGCGGATATCCTTGCCTGACCAGAGACTTACATCTTTCAGCTACTGAGAAGTTGGAGGAAAGAAGTGTTCCGTGGGCATGCGTATTTCAACACCAAGAAGCTAACGCTTAGAGTTCAGACTGAGAGGCCGCATGGCAAGGAAGAAGCCGTTGTTGTTTGGCACACAAAGGAATTTCAGACTGACGAAGACCAGAAAGTAGTGCCGTTTGACCAAGACATTTGGAGAAGTTTTATCTAATTATGAAAGTGCCACATTCTTGGGGATCATGAGATCACATTTACCCGGCGGGTTCCAGGGGAAGAAAACAAAGCGCGGTGTATCAGTCTCACTGCCAAACATCCAAAAGAAATCATTGTTTGGGGTTGCATGGAGTCCTGTGGAACTGGAATGCCCCATAAAGTTTCTAGCATGTTCAATGCATGCAAATATGGGGAGATGCTCCAAAACTGTATGCCATCATTAGTCCATAAGTTATTCTAGAAAGAAAACCTCTTCCAGGATGACAGGACGCCATAACATTGATCAAAGACAGTAGCAGAATGAATGCAACGTTAAAGAGTGAAGTCGCTCGAATCTCCAGTTCAGTTCCCAGATTTAAGTACAATTGGAAATTTGTGGTACAGATTATCATTAGAAATATTACAGGATCTGCCAGCAATCAAAAGAGAAGTTATCGTGTTTCTTATTGATGCAGTAAAACCTGAGTACTGCGTCCTGATTGTGAACGACGCTAGCACTGGGATGCAACGCGTATGGAAGTAGAAAGCAGAATTTAATGCGGAATACATATGATTCGAAAGGGTTGAAGGAAGCCAAGAAATTCCCTTGTATTCGTAGACACCTGGCTGATATCTAATCTGGGTGATGGAAGGGGGTTATTGTTATAGTAGATGGTAAGTCACGCGGGCGAAACCGATGCGCGGCCAGTGGACTGAAAAGCCAATCGAAGCCATCAGCACAACTTGACCACACTTACAAGGGCCAGATGGACAGTAAAGAATTGGTTCGCTGTATAATTAATCAGATACGCTCCTAGTTCCAGACACAGTCATGCGAATTGCTTGTGCGCAGCACTGACTGTGAGCGGACGGTGTGCGGCAAGTGGAAATACAAACGGTGCCGGGAACGCAGGCTGACCGTATTCGCAACGACTGGATAAACAACCCGGAATTTAGTCGGGCTATTGTGCACAAAGAACAACTTTGTTCCATTCAAGCTAAGATTAGTCCAAACAGCTACGACCGACGGATGAGTGCGAACCAATGAACTAGGCAGATGGCTAGCAAGGAGCTACCACTAAAAGTGTGCTTCAGTAAAATAGTGATTAAACTTTATCCGCAGTATAAGAGTACCTTGGGTTCTTAATAACAGCTTTTCGGATCGTTATGCAGTATTCGTCTAAATACTTGTATGGCTATCTCTGACCCTATCGATGTTCACCCGTGGCGTAGCTGTACGCTATCTGACACATCTCCAGGTTGCGGATTGGAGAATACCTTCCTTGTGGCAGTAAATCCGCATAAATCTCATTTGCTTTGCAGGCGAGATGAATAAGCAGTCGCGGATCATCAGCGGCAGCCTCGCAGAGTGTGAGCAGTTCTGGGCTGGTCACCTGGTTCTCCATCAAAATACCCCAAGAGCTAGTGCGGCACTTTGTCAGTGCTAATGTGACCGGCTATAGGGTCATTAAACACTCACAGCGGTAACTAGAGGTGAGTACGTAACGGAGGGCAGATGTACAATCTTGCTGCCCACCGGCTTCTGTGTGGACTACTATCGAACACAAAGAAGGCGAAGGAGCCACTTGGTTGTCAACTGTATTCGTATTCGGCTACTTGCGTGGATCGGTGCTCTGCCTTTCGGGTCAGGTCTTATGACCAAAGGCTCGGGGAAGGGTCCATTATGTTTACCCACTTCCACTAACTGGACAACCGGGAAGATGTCTACGTACACAACATATAGGTCTTCCGTTGACTACCTGCTTCCCTTTTGTGTTGTTATGTGTTTTGCTGCTGCCAGTTATATATATATATATATATACATATATATATATATATATAACATCGGGCATACGCAGTCAGTTTAGATGCGAGTAAAGGCTGGGAGATCAAGCTTTGTAACTATTGCTACTGAATACGATCTAGGTGTGATTGTACAAGAGGATCTTGGCTGTTTCACGTGAGACTGAGAAGGCGTCCGAAAAAGCTAACCAACACCTTAGCATTTTGAGGTGCGCATTTAGCGCTTTGCCCCATCAATCTTCTCTCAGAGGCTCAAGACATACATTAGGCCCCTATCGGAATAAGCCATTCATGCCTGGCAGCCTGGCATAATCACGATTTCATCGCACTTGAACTGTCCCAGCGAAGAGTGAGCAAGAACGTAAAGGATCTGTTGCATCTCTCTTACTAATTCAGGTTGAAAAGCCTTGGGGTCTATAGTGGACCATGTTATCCCCTGCGTGACTAGTTGACAACGACATGTTTGATCCTGAGGTATCGAAACCAGGTTTGTCCTCACAATATCACTCTGAGAGGTCCTCAGTTAAAGCTGACCACAGTGTATAGCCGGTTTGAATGCTGTCCAAATTTTTTCCCCTTCGCTAGAGCCAAGCATGAAACCCCTTCCTCACTTGTTTCTTCCCCCACACTAACGGTACCCAAAAAGCGCCTCGATGATGCACCCGCGCATTTACATTACGTCAAATAACCCTCTATATTCAGGCGTCAATCTGACACTAGAAACCAAGGTGGCCATTTTTTCACTTCCTGCACCTCATTTATGAAATGATACTACTGTGAAAGCTTGATTTAGGTACCACATCGGCCCGAGGAAGCGGCACACGACGGAGCTTGGTCATTTTCATTTTATATTTTTATTACAGATTATCTGAGGTAGGACTGCTCCCATATTGCTTTATGTGCACACATTCCATTCCCATAAGGTCTTATTGTTACGCGGTAATACAGTCAAATCTGGAGACGCTTTAACTGACGATTCACCTATCCTTCGAGTTTGGGAGTTATCCCTCCAGCCGTCTTAAGGAACTCGTCAAGTACCTGATTTTCTACTTTTGCTAGATCATTGTTCAGTATTCGAGAATCATGACCTGTCGGAGAAACGTTAACTACATCTAGCGTTGTCAGCGTGTAATAATTCAACATTTACGACGGGT